CCTGGGCTAGTGGAAGGTGCCCCTGCCCAAGGCAGGAGGTGGAAGGAGATGAGCTTTAAGGTTCTCCCAACCCAAACCAGTCTGGGGTTGCATAATCCTATAGACACAACTGGAGATCCAGGAGAGGAGCTGGAGGGTGGGGGGAATCTCTGCAGGGGATGTGGGGGCATCTGATCCAGACTGCAGTGATGCTTTCTTCTTGTACTGGGATATTCTGCTCCCTAAAGCATGCTGGCTGCTGGGTCTCACTCCTCAGTCAAATCCAACTCAGCCTCCAAAACCCTTTCTAGCAGCTCTGGAAGGGAGGTTTTGCTGTCAAACAGTACCACCTTTACAGAAAAACAACTTTTCCAGAGGAAAATCATAAGCCTGAGATTTATCCTTCAGCTGTGTCTCTGTGGGAAGCAGCTGGATCCAGCTGGGAGCAGCAGCTGGAACAAGCCCTGTGACAGATCCACAGATCAGCCATGGCTCCTCCTGCACAAATCTTTGCATCCCTTCTTGTAATCACACCACCCACCTGTGTCCCTCAGCGTCCCCGTGATGATCCACACACACCGAGCTCCTGAGCCACCACAGCTCTGGCTCTGCTGGGTTCAGCTGGTTCCACAGAAGAATCTCAGTTTCAGAAACTCAATGAGTGTTGTGTTCCAAACACAGTTCCTGTCACTCCAAGGTCTGTATTTAAAGATCATGGAGCATCCAATTCTGCTGCTCTCAACATTAGAAGGATTTGGAAGTGTTGGAGTGAGTCCAGAGCAGGCCATGAAGTTGTTGAAAGAACTGGAGTATCTCCACCATGGAGCCAGGCTGGGAGAGCTGGGAATGCTCAGCCTGGAGAAGAGAAGGCTCTGGGGAGATCTTAGAGCCCCTTCCAGGGACTAAAGGGACTCCAGGAGAGCTGGAGAGGGATTTGGGGCAATGGCATGGTAGGACAGGATGAGAGGGAATGGCTTCCCACTGCCAGAGGGCAGGGATAGATGGGATATTGGGAAGGAATTGTTCCCTGTGAGGGTGGCAAGCCCCTGGCACAGGTTGCCCAGAGCAGCTGTGGCTGCCCCTGTATCCCTGGAAGTGTCCAAGGCCAGGTTGGACAGGGCTTGGAGCAACCTGGGATGGTGGAAGGTGTCCCTGCCATGGCAGGTGGTGGCACTGGATGAACTTAAAGGTCCTTTCCAAACCAGTCTGGGATCCTGTGATTCAACATCCACTGGCAGCCAGCTGTTAGTGGGCTTCCCCCAGCCTCAGGATTTGGGCTGGTCCTGTTTAATCTCTTTACCCATGATCTGAATAAGAGGGTCAAAGGCACCATTTTCAGTTCACAGACAACACCTCTGGATCTCCTGGAGGGCAGGAAGGCTCTGCAGATGGATCTGAACAGGTTGGATCCATGGGCTGAGGGTCAACAAGGCCAAGTGCCAGGTCCTGCCCTTGGATCACAACAGCCCCTTGGAACACTCCAGGCCAGGGGCAGAGAGACTGGAAAGCTGGAAAAGGACCTGGGGGTGCTGGTGACAGCTGCTGGACATGAGCCCAGGTGTGCCCAGGGGACAACAAGGCCAGTGGCACCTGGCTTGGGTCAGGCACAGTGTGTCCAGCAGGCCCAGGGCAGTGATTGTCCCTCTGCTCTCGGCACTGCTGAGGCCTCACCTCCAATCTGGGGTCAATTTTGGGTTTCTGATGACAAGAAGGACATTGAGGGGCTGGAGCGTGTCCAGGGAAGGGAACAGAGCTGGGGAAGGGTCTGGAGCACCAGGAGGGGCTGAGAGAGCTGGGAAAGGGGCTCATCCTGGAGCAAAGGAGGCTCAGGGGGGACCTTGTGGCTCTGCACAGCTCCTGACAGGAGGGGACAGCCGGGGGGTCGGGCTGTGCTCCCAGGGAACAGGGACAGGAGGAGAGGGAATGGCCTCAGGCTGGGCCAGAGGAGTCTCAGGGTGGACATCAGCAGGAATTTCCCCATGGAGAGGGTGCTCAGGCCTTGGAACTGCCCAGGGAGGTTTGGAGTGCCCATCCCTGGAGGTGCCCAAGGAATGTCTGGAGGCAGCACTCAGAGCTCTGGGCTGGTGACAAGGTGGGGATCAGGCACAGGTCAGACTCCATGGTCTTGGAAGGCTTTTCCAACCTTGAATGACTTCACAATGAGCCATTCACCACCACTGAAACCCTCCCATGATTTCAGGGTGTCAGAAGATGACAGAGCAGGGACAGCCACAGCTAATTGCCACTGCTAAAACAACCCCATTCCACCCTCCCTGAGCTGGATTAATTCCTGGGAGACATGGGATTTTTGGGGGGTGACACAGAGACGTGAGGGCACTGCACTCAGTGAGGGAACATTGTACCTCCTGATCTGATTTCCAACCACTTGGGCTGGGATTGTCAAACATGGTCCAGAGGAGCTGGCGCATCAGTTTTCCACGGAGCCCTTCCCACTCCAGTGCAGCTCCAGGGAATTCCTCCTCAGGAGCTGCTGGATTTCGATGTGTTTAGATGGCAGACAAGAAGAACAACTAGATAATTCTCCAGTTAGCTCTGGGGGGTGAAAATAGCAATTAGGAGGGTGAAACTGGGATTTGGTGGAGTGAAATTTGGGTTTAGAAGGTGAAACTAAGGGTTTGGAGAGGGAAATTGGGGGTTGAGGGTAAAACTAGGGGTTTGTGGGATGGTGCTAAAGTTTGGAGGGTGAAATTGGGGTTTGGGGGGATCAAACTGGGGTTTGGTGGGGTGAAATTTGGGTTTAGAAGGTGAAACTAAGAGTTTGGAGAGTGAAATTGGGGGTTGGGATGAAACTGAGGTTTGGTGGGGTGAAATTCGGGTTTAGAAACTGAAACTAAGAGTTTGGAGAGGGAAATTGGGGGTTGAGGGTAAAACTAGGGGTTTGTGGGATGGTGTTAAAGTTTGGAGGGTGAAATTGGGGTTTGAGAGGATAAAGCTGCGGTTTGGTGGGGTGAAATTGGAATTTGGAAGTGAAATTGCAGTTGTGGGGGTGAAATTGGAGTTTGGAGGGTGAAAATGGGGTTTGATGAGATCAAATTGGAGTATGATGGGGTGAAATTAGGGTTTGTTGGCACAAAATTAATGTTTGGGTATGGAAGTAGGGGTTTAGGATAAAAATCAGGATCTGGTGGGATGAAATTCGTGCCTGGGGGAAGAAATTGGGATTTGGGATGTCAGGATTAGGGTTTGGGAAAATGAAATGAGGGTTTGGTGGGTGAAATTAGATTATAGGGGATGAAATTAGGATTTAGGGGGTGAAATGAGCGGCTGGATTATGATACTGGGGTTTGAAGGATGGAATAGAAGAGGGTGATATTAGGGTTTGGTGAGCAGATATCGGGGTTGAGGTGTGAAATCGGAGTTTAGGCAGGACAATTAAAGCTTGAGGGATGAATTTTGGGTTTGGGCGGAGAAATGAAGGTTTGGAGGGGCTGACATGAGGGTTTGGAATGAAATTGGGGGTTGGGGGAATCCAGCTTGGTTGTGAAATTGGAGGGTTGAGGGTGAAATTGGTGTTTGGCTGTTGAATTTATGGTTTTATTGGGGGAAATTGGTGTTTCAATTTGGAAATGGGGCAGCAGGGCCAGCAGGGTTGTTGGACCCAACTTTCTCCCCCTTTGAACCTTTCTCTTTCTCACCTCCATTTCCCACAGGCAGGAGGAAGCGCCCAGGGCCCCAGGTGGCAGCGGGATCCTCACAAAATACAGGGATTATAGAGGGATCCTCACAAAATACAGGGATTATAGAGAAATCCTAACAAAATACCAGGATTAGAGGTGCTCCTGCTCCACGGGAGCTGGGATTCCCTGACCCTGAGGCCTCCTTCACCTCAGACCTAACCCAAACTTCTTCCCCATCGCTGAGAACCTCCAACTCCCTAAACAAACATGGCACTGCTGGCGAGAGCGGGAATGTAGCAGGATAACCACTGTGAAGTGAAGCTTTAAATGGGAAATATTTCAAGCGGTTTGCTGTCCCGGAGCAAGGAGTGACCGTGCTCTCAGACAGTCTACGCAGGGTTCCACGGCTCCAGACCCGGCAGAGCAGCGCCCGGCCCCGGGGAGCCGCAGAGAGCTGAGGGGCTGCCGCAGCCGCCGGCAGCGCTGTCCGGCATCCCTGGTGCGAACACGCACAAGGAAACAGGAAGAGGGTGAGGCAGGCACTGAATGCAGCAGAGCTCCCTGCTCTCGCCGCGCGGGGGGTTCAGCCCAGCCCGCTGAGGGCAGGAACAGGCAGCACTGGCGCAGCTCCGCACCGCACCACGGCCTGCCGCGCTCTGAGCCCTCAGCTGCCGCCGCACCGTGAGCTCTGCCGGGGACCGCCCCCCCTCCCCGCGGTGACCAATTAGAGCCAGAAGAAGCCTGATTGATTTTTGTCCTAGCCAATCAGCTCTCTGACTGTTTGCACCCAATCAGACGCCTGGGGACGTTTTCTCGCCCAATGATAAACCAAGAACTGAGTAGGGAGGGGGGGGAGTACTTTTTCGTGAGCGGCGTAGGGATCAGCCAATCATATCAGTTCGATGGGTGGACTAGTGACCAATGAGCAAAGGGGGCGGGGACAGAGCAACTCGCGAGACTTTGTGAGGTACGATGGGAACCCACATTTCAGCGAGAGAGCCAATGGCAAAGGGCGGGGCGGGGCCGCAGAACTATTATTGTAACTGGCAGATAGGAGAGCCAATCAGAAGGCGGAGCTAAGTTCGGCCCAGTGTTCAATGGGCAGCGAAAATCCTCCCATGGTTGAACTGCCACGATTGACAGATAGGACGGTCCAATGAGATCGCCGCGCCCTTTCTAACTGCCCAATGAGCGAGCTGGGCTGGGAGGCGCGCGACGGTGGCAATTCCCGCCCCCCCCGCGGGAGCACGGGTCTGGCTGGCAGACCGACAGCTCAGCGGACCAATGGGAACGCGAAGCGCCAGGACATGGGCGGAGCACCCCCGCGGAGACAGCCAATGGGCGAGGGCGCCGCCCTGGGCAGCCAATGGGCGCGGGGGGGGCGGCGCGCGTTGCCGGCGCGGCTCCCAAGATGGCGGCGGGTGCGTGAGCGGGGCGGTCGGGGAGGCCCGGCGGGAGCGCGGCCGCCGCCGCCATGAAGGGCAAGGAGCGCTCGCCCGCCAAGGCCAAGCGCTCCCGGGGCGGGGAGGACTCGGCGTCCTCCTCCTCCTCCTCGCGCGGCAGCAAGAAGCCGAGCGGCTCGTCCGGCGGAGGCGGCGGCTCCAACGGCGGGAAAGCGGCGGCGGCGTCCGGCGAGAGCAACAGCGGGAGCGGCCGGCGCGGCGCCCACGCGGACAAGGGCGGCCGCGCCGGGAGCCGCGAGTACGAGAGCGGTTCGGCGGCGGCCGCGGGCGGCGGGGGCCGGCACGGCTACAGCGGTAAAACCGCGGAGGCGTCGCGAAGCAGCAGCAGCCGCGGCGGTGAATCGCGAGCGGCCGCCGCCGCCTCGTCCTCGTCCTCCTCGTCGGAGCCGGGCGGCGGCGAGTACAAGACGCTGAAGATCAGCGAGCTGGGCTCGGCGCTGAGCGACGAGGCGGTGGAGGACGGGCTTTTCCACGAGTTCAAGCGCTTCGGCGATGTGAGCGTCAAGATCAGCCGGCTCCCGCCCGGCGCCGGCGCCGCCGACGAGCGCGTGGCCTTCGTCAACTTCCGCCGGCCCGAGGACGCGCGCGCCGCCAAGCACGCCCGCGGCCGCCTCGTGCTCTACGACCGCCCGCTCAAGATCGAGGCCGTCTATGTCGGCGGAGGCAGCGGCCGCCGGCGCAGCAGCCGCTCCCCGGCGCTGCTGGACAAGGAGTCTCCCTACGGCACGGCTGCGGTCGGGGCGGTGGCGGCCGCCGTGCGGCACCCGCCGGCCGGGGCCGCGCAGCGGGCGCTGTCCCCCGCGGGCAGCGGCGGAGCTTTGGGATACCGGGACTACCGGCTGCAGCAGCTCGCCCTGGGCCGGCTCCCGCCGCCGCCACCGCTGCCAAGGGAGCTGGAGAGGGAGCGGGACTACGGTGGCTTCTACGAGGCGCGGGTGCGGCCGGCCTACGGGCTGGAGCGCGTGGCCGGCGTGGCGGCGGCCGGGGGATTCCGAGGAGGAGGAGGAGGAGGTGCCGGAGCGGCCGCTGAGGAGGAGATCAGCCCTGAGGACGACCAGAGAGCCAACCGCACGCTGTTCCTGGGCAACCTGGACATCACCGTGAGCGAGTCGGACTTGCGGCGAGCCTTTGACCGTTTTGGGGTCATCACCGAGGTGGACATCAAGAGGCCGGGGCGTGGGCAGACCAGCACCTATGGGTTTCTTAAATTTGAGAATCTGGACATGGCGCACCGGGCCAAGTTGGCCATGTCAGGGAAGGTGCTGCTGCGCAACCCCATCAAGATCGGGTACGGGAAAGCCACCCCGACCACCCGGCTCTGGGTGGGCGGCCTGGGGCCCTGGGTGCCTCTGGCTGCCTTAGCCAGGGAGTTTGATCGGTTTGGCACGATCCGCACCATCGATTACCGCAAAGGGGATTCCTGGGCCTATATCCAGTACGAGAGCCTGGACGCGGCGCAGGCAGCCTGCACCCACATGCGGGGGTTCCCCCTGGGGGGGCCGGATCGCCGGCTCCGCGTAGACTTTGCCGACACGGAGCATCGGTACCAGCAGCCCTACCTGCAGCCGCTGCCCTTGCCGCCCCCAGCTCATTATGAGCTCGTGGCAGAGGCGGCTGCTTTTGGGGCTCACCGGGGAGCCCCTCCTGACCCTCTGCGGGGGGCCCGGGACAGGACACCACCGTTGCTCTATAGAGACCGTGACAGAGACCTTTATCCTGAGACAGAGTGGGTGCCCCCGCCGCCCCCTGTGCGGGACCGGAGTAATCGGGCCGCTGCCTATGACCCACTGGAAAGCCTGGAGCGCCGCCGGGATGGGTGGTCCTTGGAGCGGGACCGCGGGGAGAGGGAGCTGGGCAGTAGGGATCAGCCTAGGAAACGGAGGCTGGTGGAGGATGGAGGCCGGCACTTGGACCGTTCCCCTGACAGCGAGCGCTCCTCTTCCTCCCGAAAGCGCCACTGCTTGGCCACAACCTCTCCCCCGGACCGCAGCCCCGAGCTTCTCGGAGGCCGGGAGCGTTACAGTAGTGACGCTGAGCGCTCGTCCCGCTTGCTCCTCTTGGAGCGACCTTCCCCCATCCGGGAGTCCCACCGGGGCAGCCTGGAGCGGGGGCAGAACGAAAAGCGCGACCGCAAGAATTCCGCAGAGCGGGAGCGCAAGCATCGCGCCGCCGCCGCCGCCCAGGAGTGCAAAAGTCCGGCCAAAAAGGACGAGCGGGCGGCGGAGGGGGGTGGCGGAGGCTCTCGGCTCAAACCTCCTCCCCAGAAACAGCAGCAGGATGGAACAGCGCAGGCCGGGGCAGCGCCCAAGCTGTGCTTAGCTTGGCAGGGCATGCTCCTGCTGAAGAACAGCAACTTCCCGTCCAACATGCACCTGCTCCAGGGGGACCTCGGAGTCGCCAGCAGCCTCCTCGTGGAGGGAGCGACTGGGGGGAAAGTGGCTCAGCTCAAGATCACCCAACGTCTCCGTCTGGACCAGCCCAAGTTGGATGAGGTCAACCGGCGCATCAAGGTGGCGGGTCCCAACGGATACGCCATCCTTCTGGCCGTGCCCGGCGCCTCAGACAACCGCTCCGCAGCCGGAGCTGCCGAGGCCGCCACCACCTCCACGCAGAGGCCGCTCAGGAATCTGGTGTCCTACCTAAAGCAAAAGCAGGCTGCTGGGGTGATCAGCCTTCCTGTGGGGGGGAACAAAGACAAGGAGAACAGCGGGGTCCTGCACGCCTTTCCGCCCTGCGACTTCTCCCAGCAGTTCCTGGACTCCACGGCCAAGGCGTTGGCCAAATCAGAGGACGACTATCTGGTCATGATCATTGTCCGTGGGGCATCCTAAGGCCCTCGTGTTCTGTTCCCAACCCTGCCTACTCCTCCATGCAGCCCCTCCAGCGTGTGCCAGGTGCTATGGGATACAGCCTTAGCCAGCCCTGTCGTTATTTTAAATAGATCTTTGTTTGTAGGTGACTTTCCCGGGCCGATTTTCTGTTACTACATTTTTCTATAAAGATAGAAGCCAGAGAGGTTGGTTAGGAGTAGAGTGAATAGGATATTTTGAGAATTCCCTATCAGTGGGGACAGCAGGGAGGCTCAGCCTGCTTTGATTTACAGAAAATAGAAAAATAATAAAAACTGGGGTGGGGGGGAGGGGGGGGGAAAGAAAAACTCCTGTCTTCTTAATTTAGATTCATGTCCTTTTTTCATTTCATGTATTTTAAAGCAAGTCCCAAGAGCTCGCCCTCGAGAGAGCTCCAAACTGAACAGACCAGATTTAAAGCACTCAGTGGAAACGGAAAACCATACTTTAATAACAGACTGGTGTCACCTCCTCTTTTGAGTCCTTGAAATTCCGTGTGGGCCTCAGGCCAGGGGCCCTTTGGCCCGCGGGATCCCTTCCCTCGGGAGCCGCAGCGGTTTCCCCGTTGAGTCGCGTGGCTCAAGGTCGACGTTTTTCAGGTGAGCAGCAGCTGCTCTCGGGTACACAGCAGAACACTGAATTCCTTTTTGGAAAGGGATTCCTTTTTTCATCCAGCCCCCCCAGGTGCATGCACTGAAACTGGGCTTTTTAACAGGTGTATTTCCCTGATTTCCCAGTGTATCCCATATGTGCACTTTGGGTTTGTAGCAGTGACTAGGTTGTAGCAGTGACTAGGTGAAGAGCTGAGGACTTTGTTGCAAACCAGGAATGTCTTGTGCTCACTCTGGTGTGCAGGAAACAAGGAGGTGCTTTAAGGAGAACTTGAGTTATATTGTGGGGTTTTGGTTTTACTGCCTTTTTTTGTTTCGTTTTGTTTTGTTTTGCAAGAGTTGCAGGTTCAGTGGGGTCTGGTTCCACAATGCAAACTGAGCAAGTAAGTGCTTCTCTCCAGAGATGCTTTTCATTCTGTGATAATTTAATTACATAAAAGTTCTCATTAACATTTTACCTCTTTGTTAATAGCAAGGAACTGCTGTCTGCTAGGGACTTTTCAGGTACAGTGTGCAGTGGGCATTACATGAGGTTTATCATGGGCACCTGGAGTAAAGTGGTTTTAGCATCTTGGAGAAATATTAAAAATACTCCAAGATGCTGAGGTTTGAGCTCTTGTTCTTGTGATTCAAGGATGAAACAGTTTGCAGGTTGTTTTTGGGGGTTTTTTTTTCCAAAAGAACATAGTTAATTTTTTCTTATTTTTCCCTAATCATTGGGCACTTTTCTCCAGTTGTCTTAGCCACCTTTGGTAATTCAGGCGTTTAGGAGGGGAGAAGGGATCTCAATCCCTGATGCGATCTAACTCCATGATATTCAGTTTAACAACCAAAAGGATGTTGCAGCAGCTTCTAAACTGAAGTGTAAATCTCACTGTATCTCTTTACAGGCCCTAAAATTGTAATCTTGCACTTAAACCCAGAATGTAATCTTGCACTTAGCCATGTTTTCAGGGATTTGGGCAACGGAGAAGCGACGCTGCCTCTCTCGGTCCATGCTCCAGTAGATTCCTTGGATAATTGATACAGGCATGAGTTGATTTCTGTTACAACTTGCATGGCAAAAATCAAATTCAAAGTGTGGAATAGGATGCGATAGGAGACAAAGGAGGAAATGTCTTGAATGTATTTTATGGGTGTAACTGAACTTGCTTGAGTTTCTGTCACAAAAGTAGGAATTTTTGTTACTGCACCACTTGTCAGAGAGGGCTTTGATTCCTTTATCTGCCCAGAATGAGTGGACCCAGCATCCCAAACGTGGTGAACTGAGAATTCCAATGTGGCAGCATCTCTTAAACACAGATTTTGTTTTTTATAGCTGCTTTTCTTTCTAAATGAAAAGGTGAAAGTCTCATTTAATGCTCTTAAATTTGAGAGTAAAATCCAGGATTTCTGGGTTGTCCTTCAATGTGAATGTAAGAGATGGCAGAATTCAGCTGTTCAGCTTACTATTAACAATGAGAATTTTTGGGAATGACACCAGAAATGCAAATCACTGTGTTTAAGAAGATAAAGCGTGTTTACCACTTATTGCAAAGAATGTTTTAATTGGAGCAGGTGCCTGTTGTGTGTCAGCAGGTGAGCAATGCTGCAAGTGCTGCTTGTATTCAGGGGGAGTTTTCTGGGAGATTTCTGTCATCTGACAGAAATCACTTGCAAGAGTTTTCTAGGAAAGACTTGAACAGCTGGGAATTTAAATCTGCCCAAAACCGGGGGGAAAAAAAGCACTAAAGTTTGTGTTGGACACTGAGAGCAGCATTTGTTCCGCTGATCCGCAGCAGGCACCTGCTTAAAAACCCATCAAACTTGGGGTCAGCATAGCTTGTCAAAGCCAGCTTGGTTTGGGAAGCCTTTTGGGAAGAGCATGTTAGGTGCACTTCCATTTTTCCTTGGGAAGTCACGGTGGTTCCACCTGCCACTGGCTGTGAAATTGTGCTGTGCTGGAGGGCGAGCAGGAACAGGCGAGGCCGTGTTTGACTCCAAGTTTTTCTGGTTCCTTATTTAATGGAGCACCTGCTTCTTTGAATCTGGTTCATTTGTGGTTGCTGCTCTGTTTTGTAAGCAAGGATTTTAAACACCCTTTGAGGGTTCTTGTGGCAAAACTTTGAAAGGTTTTTTTTGCTGGCACTGAATTCCCGTGCTGCCATCCCGGCTGGGCGGGCTGTGCTTTCCTCCTTGGTCTGAGGTGTTTCCCATTGGAGTAACTGTCCACTGAAGTTGGCTTAGCCAGGGCTGAAGGTTTAGAAGCCTGTGGGTGATACCACTGTGTGTAGAGCAAACCAGATGTAGCAGTTGTTGGCTCTCTCCTCGTGTCTGGCATTAAGTTGCTCTGGTGAGAGCTCAGTATTCCCTCCCGACCTTGTGTGCAGCTGATGTTCTTCTATTTCATTAGTGTGTTGAATTAGTCTGGAAAAAGGATGTCCTTTTCCTGAATCATTTCATCCTTGTGCTTTATGCTTTGGGGAAAGAACCTCAAATGACTCGTAGTTTTGTTTGAGATTTTAGTTTGTTGTTTATTTTTTTCAATTGGAAACTTTGCGCAACTTCTTGGCCCCTGGCCACTGGCTTTGTTTGCCACGGGAGCACTGAGGTTATCCTCAATCCAGAGGTTTTAGGGGCACAAATACCAACACATCCTTGTCAGCCTCCCAGAGAGAAAAGGGCATTATTGCCAGGCAGACAAGCTTTGCCCTCTCTCTTTTGTTTCCTACAAGGATGTTAAAGATGGACTATTTCAGTGACAATTTCTTGGCCTCTGTGGAGAGCCAACTCTTATCAAGAACGAGTTTTAATTTCTTGTGTGGCTTTGGGAACCCTCTGGTTGATGGTAACTGAGGTGAAAGGCCTGAGGTATTAATGGGGAGGGGGATTGAATCAAAATTGTGAAGACAAGTTCAAAAACTCTGAGGACTCAGGGAAAAATGCCTTGGAAAATGGTAGTTCCTGGCTCAAAGCAAAACAGTGTTGAGGGCAGCGCTCCTGGGGAGTGCTGTGTGCCCTGAGGGGAAGAAACGGTTGCCGTGTGGCTCTAGAGCTTTTGGGGTTCTTTCCCCTTTGTCCCCCTGTTTATTTCTTTATAGCACTGAAGGACAGATATTCCAATGATTGGTAGACTGAACGATGAGGTGATTTTTGTATCAGGCTTAAAGCAGACCGGGTGGTGCAGAGAATGGTTCATTGAATATTCATCTTCCCGCAGTTCTGATTGTGTGAAAACGATGGCTAGGAGATATGACTTGAATAGTAACAATTTTAAATTTTATTGGGTGTGTCTTTGATTTGACCTTTTAATATTGGCATTGTCTGCTGTTAGAACTGCGCAGCAGAGCGAGAGCAAAAGAGCTGTGTAACACTACACTGCATGGTTTTGTTGATAAGTTGCCTTCAGGAAATACCCAGTGAGGAAAGTCAACCGAATTAGCAAGAATTAGGTTGGTTTTTCTCCTGGTTAATGATTTCAATGTGCCCCAACAAATGTTACTGCAAGTTGAGTAATCATCCATACTGTAAGCCTAGTTTTATCCTGGTCCAAAAAGAAGCCCTGCACTACTTGTTTTGCATCTATCCCTAGAAGGCAACTTCATTCCGAGGTTTCATGCCCATGGGTGGTATTGGTGCTTTTTGAAGTCCAAGTAGAATATTCAGAAAGGCCTCGTAGCTCTTTATGTTCATCTGTATAATGTAGGGAGGGGAAAAACCCAAATCTGGTGTACACATTTGTATTGAAATAACGTTTTTTTTCCTCCTGCAAGCAAATCTGGTGGACTGCAGAAGACAACTGCATGGGATACCAAGCTCTAATGGACCTTTGGGAAGAGAAGCTGTGGCTTATGTGGAATTTACATGGGCCTCCTGGTGGAAGAAAGCTTATCTGTTTAGTATTTGTGCATTTTACTAAAATGGCAGCTTTAAAAAAAAAAAAAGTTGTGTATCTGCTATTGTGATGCCAATGCCCGTGTTTTAAGTGGAAAAAAAAAATGACCTCTTTGCTTTGTGCTGTGTACACAAGATTGCTGGAAAAGTAAAGGAATACCCTTTTTATGGCTCACACAGCTTAAAAGTAGCTGTCACTCAAACATGCGCTCACAGTTGAGCTGATTTTGTTTCATTCTAAATAAATTGTTTCTTTTGAGGAAAATGGTTTTTCTGCCTGGAAGTGAATTGACGACAAACGTTTGGCCCCTGTGTTGGCAGCGGAGGGGTTCCTGCTGCTGCTGCCCAATTGAGCTGATAGTTGTGGGTCTTGAGCAAGAAGCAGGGAGAGCACCGACACTTTTGCGTTGATCGACCTGTGGTACCAGTCAGAAGAATTTGTATCTGATGGCCTTGCTGTGGCCCCCGTGTTTGCAGTGAAAAAGGGGTCGCTTGCTGCGTTTCTCCTCAGCGGGACGGGGCGGCGGTGCTGCTGCTGGCACGCAAGAAGCAGGGAAGCACCACCCTGCGCCTCGGAACGGTGGCCAAGTCTGGGGCTTCGCTGGTTGGAAGAGCTGGAGTTCCTGAATTTTAAGTTTCTGATTTATTTTGTTCACCCAACATGTTTGCCTTTAGTTTTGATTCTTGGTTTTTTTTTTTTTAATTTTGAAGAAAAAAAGTTTTGAAATTGCTTTGAATCTTGCACGTAAAACCTTTGCACCAAAATTGCCAAAAGAAAAAGAGAAATGAGTCCTTAAAAGTGTTTAAATGCTGTTAATAAAGCCTTTCCTGCCGTACGCGAGGCGCTCCTCCATCTCCAGGGGCTTTTCAGCAGTTGTGGGTTTAGTGCTGAATGGATGAAGAGTTCCTGAGAGCTGGAGGCGGTAATTTAAACCTTTGCGTGGTGTCTCAGTGCCTTATTTTGACCGGTTTTGAAGCCAGTGGTTCCACACGCCTCGGATGTGCATGTGCCCTGCTCGCGTCCCGGCCCCGCCGCGCGCTCCGTGCAGTCGCTCCCGGTGTAGTGCGGACGGGGAGAGGAACAGCCGGAGGCGGCCCGAAAACGTTGTGTGCTGTAGTTCTCCTGTCCCGGGGGCTCCTGAGCTTTGGAAAGCTGTTCCCGTGCAGGAGCACAACTCCGTGTTTGCTGCGGGAGACTTCGGGGCGCGCCTGAGGACCGCGGCCGTCGAGAGGAAGCTGCCACTGCTGCGTCGTCGGCTTCGGGAGCTGCCGTGCTGTGCTCGTGGTAGAATTCCTGTGACGTGCCATGAAGATACCTTGAACGCTTGCCCTGTTTGCCTTGACACACTTTAACTTCCGTGGATAACCCCCTGCAGCCGGGCAGGAGCTTTGCTAGGCTGCAGATGCCTCTCAGCCGACGGATTGTGCTCTGCAAGGTGTCTGTTCCCGGGGCAAAGCGCTGTGTAAATCCCTAAAACAGGTAAGGCGCTGGAAGAGGTTGGACTGAGTTGTAATGTAAAAGAAGATTGTTCACTTTTTGTTGCCTTGATTGTTAATGCTTACTAATTGTGGTTTCTTCAGTCGCCCTGCTGCTCCACCCGCTCGGGAATGGGGGCGAAGGAGCCAACTCTTGGATGTGCTTCCCTGTTTGTTGGGGAGTCCCGTTAGGAAACGGGGCCGTGCACATAAAGCTACATGTTCTCAGCTTGGCAAGCTGGAGCTGTTATTGTGACTTCATGAACTGCTTGAATTAACACTGCTTTAACCCAGAGTAGTGTTTATAATTTGTATGTGTTGATAAGGAAAGCCAAGCCAATGATTTGGCAAATTGTCTGTGTTTGTGGGATGCGGGTGTAATAATTTAAATGAAACTTTTTGTTGTAAATGGGAGCAATTGTAGATATTGCTGGTTATGAGGGAAGGGAATTTGAGAGGGGAGACTGAGAAGACGCCTTTTCTTCTAGAAGTTGGTGTTTGTAGTTAAAATTCCTATTTTTTGCCATGTATTACTTGTGCTGTTGAGATACAGCCTCTGAATCTCCTTTGAAGTGTTGTACAGTAGGTCTGGGGCTGGGAGCAATAATGGGAGATGTGTTTCAGCCCCTTTGCCTGGGCTGGGGCGTTGATGCTGGCAGGAGATGGGTGATCTGTCAGTGTACCCCAAAAAAGGGGATCTTTTTGGTAAGCTGGTCACCGGCTCAGGTATTCAGGTGTTTGTGTCAGGCCTTGGGCACTATCCCACTTTTTGGGTGTGCTTTGAAGTGACAGTGGCTGTTCCAGAAGAGTTCTGCCTCTCTGAGTCAGATTTCACTGTCTGTTTCACTGGGAGATGGTTCCCTGTCTCCTTTACATCATGCATTTATTCCAGAGACTCGGAGGTATTGTGGGATGTGCTGTGGGATGATTCTCCTGCAGTCACTTTGCCTTAGCAAGTTGTTTTTTGGGTGCTGGGTCTGCCCCTCTGCCTTTTAAAGGGCTTAGAGGGATGCTCCAGTGGCCAGGTAGAGCCAGGCTGTTGTTAAAACCACTCTCTTGGAAGGGTTAAGTGCTCTCTATGCATCATATTAATTTGGCTAATGAGACTTCTGGGGAAAGTGGATTTATAACGAGAACCATTTAATTAACTGCACTGCAGCAGAGAGCAATGCGAGCGGATTAGATGGGAGCAGGTTATTTGAATTCACACATTTTTTTAGAACTGTTCTTTTACCAGCTGCATCTGAATTAATAAGTTTAAAGCATCAGATGGCCCAGATTCTGCTTGTGGCCAATAACAAGCTTGTGTTGGCCTCGTGCTGCTGGTTTACTATGAAATGACAAATGCTCTTGGAGGATATGCTCCCACCTCGTGTCCCGAGGTCTGGGGCAAAGAGTGAAAAGGGTTTGGTCAGACAGGCAGAGCACTGGAAAGGCTCTTGGGCTGCTGGCTTTGTGATTCCCGTTGTGTTTCCTGTGGTTCTTGGCTCGGAGCCCTGTGCCTGAGTGTAATTAGAGCTGCCTTGAGAACTGGGTGAGGTAAACTCCTAAGGCAGAGTGAGCTCTGAGGGACTGGGTCAGTGCACGTGCTGTCATGGGTTTGACAGGAGCCTCCTGCTGCTCATCCTATTTGTCCACGTGCTGGAGGTGCCTGTAGCAGGAGCAGAGAATGTGGATGGTGGCACAAAGGTTGCCTATTTTTTCCCCCTTTGTACCCCGCTCCAGGGATGTATTAATTAAACATTGGAACCCAGGGTGTGGATGCTGTCACACATGCTGCTGGGCTGTGCATTAATGAGTTGCCACCTCCCAGCCCAGCTCTTGGGTTTGAGCTCGTGTGTGTTGTCCCAGGAAGGGGATGGGTGGGATGTGGTGGACTCCACAAAACGAGCAGATGAGCTGTGGATTAATTGTGGGTCACAGCTATTTCATCTCCTTATCTGCCTGCCTTGACCTTCATGCCTAGTTCTGCTATTGCATCTGAAGATTGGGCTGGAGGTTTTTGGCTCTGTTCAGTATTTCCTGTCCCCAGATGCAGCGATAGGTCAGGCCAGGGTTTAGCAATGCACACAGCTTGACCCAGCCCCGAGCTGGCAGCGTTCCCTGGCGTTGCTGCCCTTCGTGCAGGCGAGCACTTGGATCCTGCAGCCAGCCTCTCCTTTCAGATGCATGTGCTGCATTTCCAGGCTTGGAAACTAAAATTGCACGTTTTAGGTATGGCTGGGGACACAGATGTGTGTCTGAGCACACATGAGGGGTGTAGAAGGGTTTGAGTGAAGGGAAGCCAGTGAGGTCTCCCGGGGTGGTTGTTGAGCTGTTTGCCCACGGAGAGATGTCCTTTCGGCCATGGAGGTGTTTGCAGCCCCCTTGGCCAAGGGATTGCTTTGGTCCCTGCCAGCCTGGGCTGCTCCAGCTCTGACCTGGGCAGAGGTTCAGGGCAGGATGAGGTCCTGAACTGCCTGAGCTGCTGCTGTGGGGGCCTGTGGGAGCCGGTGGTGAGAAAAGGGGATGTTGATGTTTCTCATGCTGCTCCTCGGGTGGGTGAAGACAAGGCTGTGAACGAGGACCAGGAGGGACTCTTCATCAGGAACTGGACTGACAGGACAAAAGAGAATGGATTCAACTGAAAAAGGGAAAATTCGGGTTTGATATTGGAAAAAATCCTTTCTTTGTGAGGGTGCTGAGTCCCTGGCACAGGGTGCGCAGAGCAGCTGTGGCTGCCCCACCCCTGGAAGTGTCCAAGGCCAGGTTGGATGGAGCTTGGAGCACCCTGGGCTGGTGGAAGGTGTCCCTGCCCATGGCAGGAGGGGGAACAAGATGAGCTTTAAGGTTCCTGCCAACCCAAAGCATTCCAGGGTTCTGTGATTCTAAAACCTTGTGTTTCACCTGTTCCAGCCCAGCTTTCCCCCCTGGCACTAAGGCACAGCCTGTTCTGAGCCCTCAGGTATCTGAGGGTGCCTTTGCTGTTCCTCGTGGCACTCAGAGCTGCACCCCAAGAGCAGCTTGAGGCTGAGAGAGCCCAGTCCCAGACACCCCATCCCTGTCACCCGCCTTGTGTCAGCCAGGGTGGCTGTGACCCTTCCTAGCTTGTCCAAAGGCTTGAGGGGCTGGAGCTCAGTTTATTGGTTTTTTTGTCCCTAGGGTGCTGTAAAGACACCCTTTGCCTCTTCCTTCCAGAGTACAATCCTGGCTCTATCTTGTCCACGTGAGGGATATCTGTAGGGGAAAGTTTTGCAAAGCTTGGTGGTGGCTTCAGAGGCAAAGTCTGCTTTGGAAAAGAGACTTTGACCCATTAATTACTTCTGGAATTGTCTATTAGAGTGAGCAAGAGCTCCCGTCCTCCTTGTGGTTTCTGCAGGCTGGAAAGTTTTCCCATGAGGATCTCAGCTAAAGCTAAAACTTCTGGGTTTTCAACATCTGCTTTAATTTTTGTTCATTAGAGTCACTGCTAAGTTCCCATGGACTTCAGTGGGAGCCATTACAGTATCTTTAAAGACTCTTGTTATTATTTTCCAAACAACTCCCACCACCTAAGAAGGCTTCCAGCTTCTCAGAAGTGAAACTTTTTAATTCGAGCTCTGGTGAATTGCAGCCTAATAACGCTGTGCTTCATAAACACAGCTGCAGGACATGTTCCAGGCCAGGGGGGAAACCAGCACCAAAAAAAGAGTGTTCCTGTTATCAGTGTGTGTGAGGGCAAGTAAACAGCCCAGACCACGAGGGATCTGCCAAACAGGGGAGGGAAGAACAGCCACGTTTCCTGTTGCTGGAAGGCCCCGATGTCACATCCGTACCCAGCTATTTTAAATTGCTTTTGGCTTTCTTCACGTGGCTTAAGGTGCACACAGGAACCCCAGCAGTGCTGGCAGCTGAAGCACCTTGTCTGGGGTGCTTTTTGTGCTGCCACAGCTGTGGAAAAGCCTCTTGTTCCCCTTGAAAATGGGAACGATGGAGATTTCCCCCTGTGGTTGCTGAGTGCAGAGGAGCAGCTTTGCCTTGCTTTGGGTTCAGACAGGCCCTGGAAGGTCAGAGGAGATCCCGGCGACGGGGTCACCCTCACCCTGCTCAGTGTGGGGCTCCCAGAGAGTCCAGGCAACCCCAGAGCTGGGGCACGGTGGGGAAGCAGCCGGAATAATGCCAGGCCTCGGAGGGAATCTGTCTCATGAAGGAGATAAGCATTGCTCCTTATTACATGATAAACCTCTCTGCGCCCGGTGCCTGCCTTCAGAGGAGCGCTGGGAAAGTCTCAGCCTTGGTGTTCAGCAGGTTGTGTTCTTATCGAGGGCAGAGCCTGACCACAGAGAGTGTGGGGCACCGAGACGGTTGTTTTGTAAAATTTATTTTGTGCTTTGAAATGCCTAAATCCGTGTTCTAGCAGCTGTATCCTGCCTTTCAATGAGGCAGAATACAGAACAGGGAAGGGAAACCTGCAGCTGGTAGCCAGGACACTCGGGGTGTACAATGACCGTATAAATTATAAATCTAGAAATAATATATTTATTATTTATAAATATATAAGTACAAAATAGTATAAAATATTAACAAGATGTGTGAATTAATTAAATAATTATAGAAAACTATATAAAATATAAGTAATATGTATAAATAAAATAAATAATTGTATATTAATGTATAGACGATTATATGAAATTATAAAATATAAATAATATTTGTAGATAAATATTTATATCTAGAAATATTTAAAATTATATAAAATGTAAATAATGTGTATAAATGAATTAAAATAATGTATAAATAATATAAAACAATTCCAGTGGGTGTGGAGGGTGCAGTGTGTTCCTGATGTGAGCTCCAATTGCACCAACTTCCATTCCTTTGACAGACCTGAGCTGAGTCTTAGCAGCTTTTTATCCTGGCATGTGGAACATGCCTTGAAGCAGGTTTAAGACCCAGCAGGTGCCCACCCCACAAATCAGTCCTGCCAAGATGTGGGAGCAGGTCCTGGAGGCTGCCTGGGCTCCTCCTTCAGGATTACACCTGGGAGTAAATCACTGGTAGCAGTGGAGAAGCTTTTCCTTCCAGGAGGGATGGCACCCCTGCAGCCCAGCTCTGTGGATGGCACAAACCCGGGAGTGATCCTTGTCTTGTTGGAGAAGCCACTTCCATATTTTCTTTTTGCTTTTTTAATCCTGTGGTGCTAAAATTAATCAGGATTCAGGGTATCAGTCCTCTGTCTGTCAGTGCTCAGAAAACTAATGATCTAAATGAAGTTTTAAAGTTGGTTTTTTTTCCTCAGAGGAACTCAGGTGTTTTAGCAGGTCTTTGGGGTACAGTGAAAATTGAAGGATGTGTTCTTGAGTTCCTTTGGTCACTCAGATTCCTTCCAGGCAGCTCTGGTTCCCTGCAGGTTGCTGGATCTTTGGAGAATTCTTGAGCGTTTGGTTTCTCTGCACCATGATTTTCAGAAGGTTTTTAAAGCCACGAATCCTGGTTAAAGTCCTTCCAAATGTTGGTTTCCCATCAGGATCCAGCTGGCCATGGCATATTATCCCATGTGCAGGGGATGAGCTTGGGTAGGAAAATGTTCCCCAGGTGACTCAGGGCACAGTGCTGAGGCTGGCATTGCTTTTCCAGGGGGTTTGATTTATTGTGAGTGAAATCTTGGAAAGATCCAGGAGGTTGCTGGTGATTTCTTCCCGGTGCAAAGGCTGGAGATGCTGCCTGTGAGGTGCACAAGGGCTGGAAGGCAGGAGGGATCCAGTTCTCCACTGCCTGCCCAGGGGCAGGAGGGATCCCTGCGAGGCACCACCCCCAACAAAGCATTTTCCATGCTGAGGATCAATTTTAGCCATTGCTGCTGATTTTCTCTACTGCAGATGAGTAAGAGAAGAATTTCCTTTGAAAGGGAAAAATTAAGGGAATGTAAGGTAAATGTAAGGAAATGTAATGGAAATGTTGGGAATGTAAGGGAAATGTAAGGAAAATTAAGGGAATGTAAGGGAAAAATTTTCAGGAATAATTTCCCCATGGAAAGGGTGCTCAGACCTTGGCAGGGGCTGCCCAGGGGGGTTTGGAGTGCCCTTCCCTGGAGGTGCCCAGGGAATGCCTGGAAGTGGCACTCAGAGCTCTGGGCTGGACAAGGTGGGGATCAGGCACAGCTGGGACTCAACAATCCAGGAGGGCTTTTCCAGCCTTAAAGATTCTGGGATTCTGTGAAGGGAGCAGGGATTTTCCCACAAAAGGGATTTTCTAGTCCACTTCAGATTGAAGCTTTTAACCTCATTTGTGTCCCAGCAACCCCTGCTCTTGCATTTCTCCACACATGAACACCCTGTCGTGTTCTGCACAGTGCAAAAACAGCTTTAGGAAGTGATTTGCACCATGGCTTCAGTGGGATGGAAAAACCTTCCCGGGCCAGATGTTCCCATCCTCACTGCTGCTCTCTCTCATGCACGTGGTGTATCCTGCAGTAAATAAATGCCTTTGGTTTTCAGAGCTGCCAGGGGAACTGAACCATCTGTTCTGTGCTTGCCTTCCCAGCGCCAGGTGTGAGCAGAGAAGTGTTTGACCACCAGCCTGAGCCTGCTCAGTGGAAAAACAAAGATTTGAAGACTCTTCACACCCCTCCCAGCCCGCTGGCAGGATGGTGCAGGGCTCCTGGGAGGAGTTTCTCGTTGTGGGCATTGGTTTCCTCAGCAATTTTGGATAAACAAGAGGTAATTGTGGCTGGAGAAAGGTGCTTTGCCTGTGCAGGATTATTCTGGGGACAAATAAAGGCTGGTGGTGCCCATCCACGGGCTGGGATGTGGGAAATGGGAGCTCCTGAGCTGTGTGCTCCTCTGCAGAAGGAAAGAGGGGGAGACAAGGGCTCCAATTTTGCTAAATAAGAGTAAGGAATTGGTGACATATTGGTCTGATGGAGAGAGGGCAGGATTCTCATTAAGATCCTGCAGGTTTGGAGGGGAGCTTTGTTGGAACAGATGGGGTGGGAGGTGTGGACACCACATCCTGCCAAGTTGTTTCTTGGTGGCAGAAGAGGTGAAAATATCACAGGGCTTGTGTTGAAAGGAGGAAGGTGTTGAGCAGAGGCTTCGTTTACAGGGAGAGGGAGAGAGCAGAGCCTAAAAGGTGTTGGAATTGTGTAGAGTGGGAGCAGCAGGGTGAGGAGCTGCTGGGTGGCTCTTTCCATCCCCACAGAGCTTTAGTCCTGCTCTGTTAAAAGCCAGAAGCACAGTTGCTCTGAGGGAGATGCTGAAAACACCTAAAATCCTAAAATGCCTTCCAGAAAGAAATGCTAAAATCCTAAAGCTTTAGGATTGGAAAACCTCCCACGTGGTTCCTGTTACAGCAGCAAACCAAAGCTGCTGGTAATGTTTGAGTTGGTGAGAGTGAGGAACTTTATTGTTTCACGAGGTGAAAACTCAATTTTTTTAAAATGAAAGCCTCATCCCTGCTGCAGAAGGGCTTGGCTGAGGCCTCAGTGCAGGATTGGTTGAGTATGGTTCATCCCCCTGCAACTCCCAGTGCCTTAAACACCTCAGAAATAATCATCTTATCCAGAAATCCTGGTGGATTGGAAATTCCAGGGAATTTCCAGGGCTTGGAAAATTCCCTCCTGGGGATCCTTTAAGTCCTGGATCAGATATTCACTGGTCCATGCCAACCCCAGAGTGGTGGATGCTGAGGTTTCAGGTGTAAAGGGATGATGGTTACAGTGGAAAGGACCATTCCCAAAGCACTTGCTGCCTGCAGATTCCTGGGAGAAGCTGTCAAACAGCAGATGAAAAATGAACTGTTTTGTAGCACTGATATTCCCCAATCCCTGTATTTTCCTCTCTTTTAAGCACAGTTTCTTTGGCACTGTGTAATTGTGTAACTGCTGGATTTGGCCCATCATCTGTAGAGGAACTTTCTTACCTGTGACAGTGTTGGAGCTCCTTGAAACTGTTAAAATATTCTGTAGCTTTTCATTAAATATCGACCATTTGGGCTTGAAATAACCTGTTTCACACTTTAAAGGAGTGTTTCTATAGGGGAAACAACTCTCTTGCTGCCTTAATATTAAATAAAGGGATGAGGAATAAAAGGGGTAAGAAAAAAACAGGATAATTAAATCTCCTTAATAATTAAAAAAAGGCAAGGTAAAAAGAAGGATAATGCCATTGGTTGGAATGAATATCTCAGGCTGACATAAAAATTTCAAATACCAAATTTTTTACCATAATAATTTCAAATACCAAATTTCAAAAAATTGCACCTTCACTACTGGAAAGAAAGTCCAGGCTGCTGTGTTGTGTCTTATCCATCCTAATTAAATCTGTGGGATGCTGGCTGGATCCAGGCTCAGCACTGGAGCTGCCTCTGTGTGTGCATGGAATCCCTGGGAGTCTCTGGAGGGTTGGGAAGCTGGGGAGGGGTGGGTTTGGTCTCTGGCTTTGGAGTCCTGGTTCTGGTTTTAATTAAAACTGGTTTTGCCTCCAGGTCCTCTGTGCTGTGGCAGTAAGTGTGCCTGGGATGTGGAATGGCCCCACTGCAGCGTCCACCCCAGAGAGAGGAGCTCCTGGAGCAGCTGATCCTCGTGGAAGGATCACCCTGACCTCCCTGTCCCTGCTCGCACCCCTCCCCAGGGCCAGCTGTTTGTGCGGGAGCAGAATGAGCTGAAATCCCTGCTGTGCTCTGGCACTGGGAGCTCCCTGGCTGCTCATCCCACGAGGTGAGTGAGTCAGCTCTGCTCTGGGAAGGACAGAGCTGAGGATCCAGTCTGAGAGGCAGAAAAACCCAGCTCAGGAGCAGAGGCACCATGGGCTGCATTTCCCCATACAATTCACACTGTGCATTTCTCAGCTGGCTTTAATCAGGACAAATATCCAGGTATCCAAACTGAATCCGACATCCAGCAATTCCACTTTTCAGTGTTGCTGCTGTTGATCCTTCCCAGTACAGGCAATGGCTTTCCCACGTAGATGTGATCAAATCCCAGCCTTTAAAACTTCAGCTCTTGTTCAAATTGGCTTTTTTTATCTTCCATTTTTGGGCTGCAGGCTCGAAGAAGAAGGAGATAGGTGAGATGAGAGCACAGGCTCCAGCAAAGAGGAAGGAGCAGGCGTAGGTCTGGGTGTAGTCATAGAGCCACCCTGCAGGAGAGAAGGTTGTTATTAAAGCTGGGGGATTTTTCTCAGTGAAAAAAATAATTCAGGGAGGTGGGTGGGAGGCAAAGGATGTGCGTTCTCATCTAAGAATTGCTCAGATATTTCCCTTAAATTATTTTAACTCTTCCTGGGCAGCATTTCCTGTAAGGAAATGACGTGCAGGTCATTTTTCCCAGAGCCAACTTTGATCCTTGCAGTGGACATGGTGCTTAATTTGATTGCATTTAATCCCTGAATTTTGTTTTTTTCCTGTTCAAGTAAGTGGGCCAAAAGTGGCTGATGGAGGATCCCCTTGGACTGAAGAGATGACTTGCACATGTTGGTGTTTGCAACATCTGGGCTGCAAACCCCCTGTTCTCCAGCCTTGTCTTGTGAGCAGACCCAGTTTCATGTCCTTTGTCTAACAGGAGAGACCCCAGGCCAGGAGCTGGAAGTGAACTTGATAAAAGTAGCTCTGGGAGGACTTAAAAGGAAAAGCTGAATTCCATTGAGCCTCAGGAATGTCTGGAGGATTCAGGTCGCCTTTTAAAGTGACCTCCAAGTGTTGGCTTTGGTCCTGGCAAATCATCTGGGGTCTGGGCAGTCCTTTGAAAGGTGGAGAGTTCCTCTCTTTGAATCTAAAATTCTCAAAGTGGTGGGAGATGCTGCTAGACATAAAAACCCTAATCCAGTCCCAGATGTGGGGTGGGGCAGCAGCTGGGCCAGATCTGCTGCTGGTGTGAAATGCAATTCCTCTGGAGACATCCATGGAATCCAGACATCCAGGGGCTTCCATGAGTTACACAAACAGCAGATCTGGCCCAAACCTGAGCTTCTTAAAGCCAGGAAGGGACAGGATACAGTCCCTGAGGTCCTGGGCTCGGGCACGTGGAAAGGGAGGGAGCCAGTGGAGTTTGGGATCTGGCTGGAGCAGAGGCACTGACATTCCCTGCTGTGGATTTCCACAGGAGGCTTTATAAAGCACAGGAACAGCTGCTTTTGCTTTTTGAGTTTCAGTTTCTGTTGGCTCACTGCTGTCTCGGGGGGAGTCCCTGTGATTGCTCCTCAGGGATGTCCTGTGAGCCACGTGCTGGGGAGCTGCAGCTGGAGAGAGGGATCCATCTCCTGGGGGATGCATCTCCTGAGGGATCCATCCCCTGCTGGGATCCATCCCCTGCTGGGACGCATCTCCTGGGGGATCCATCCCATGATGGGATCCATCCCCTGCTGGGGATTCATCCTGTGGTGGGATCCACACCCTGCTGGGATCCATCCCATGATGGGATCCATCCCCTGGTGGGGATTCATCCTGTGGTGGGATCCACACCCTGCTGGGATCCATCCCATGATGGGATCCATCCCCTGCTGGGATCCATCCCATGGTGGGATCCACACCCTGCTGGGATCCATCCCCTGCTGGGGATCCATCCTGTGGTGGAATCCACACCCTGCTGGGATCCATCCCATGGTGGGATCCACACCCTGCTGGGATCCATCCCCTGCTGGGGATCCATCCTGTGGTGGAATCCACACCCTGCTGGGATCCATCCCCTGCTGGGATCCATTCCCTGGTGCTGCACTGTCGGCCTCTCCCATGACCCTGAGGTTCATTCCCAGGGCTGGGATCTCTTTCTGCTGCCTGGAAGTCTCTGGGATTTGGAGAGGAATGCTGACGTAGTTATTTGTGAGAGGAACAGGACAGAGTGCTCCAGTAGAGCTCTGACTTATTGCAATTTTTAAAATGTCCTTCGGGATATTTCTTAATTTTTTTTTTTTTTAATTTTCCTGGAGTTTTTTTGGTGCTCAATGGGATTTAGGGGAAGTGGGATTTACCAGCATTGCCTCACTGGCAGCACAGCCACCAACTTCCATCACACCCCAAACTTTTGGAGCAACTCCAGTCTTTGTGCCCCCAATTCATTTCCAAAACAAAACAAAAATCACTCTTCCATCACACCCCAAACTTTTGGAGCAACTCCAGTCTGTGCCCCCAGTTTATTTCCAAAACAAAACAATAATCACTGCTGCTGCAGAAAGCTGAACTAGGAGCTTGTGGTGTTCAAACCCCAGCAAAGCAGCAGTTCTGTGAGGAATGCTGGTAAATCCCAGCAATGTAATCCAAACTAAACCTTCCCAGCACTGCTGGTGCTACCAGGCTGTTTAAATGGTAGTGCTGATCTTTAATCAGAAGTTTTATTTATTCCTGATGCCCTGAGGAGCAAAATTCAGTGGGAAGGTGAAATTTAGGAAACATCTAAATACACGTGCCAGCAGAGCTTTTGGGTAACTCCATCCTCTTCCTTTTGACCACCCAAATTTCTTGGGACTGGAGTTTGTGCTCTGGGGGCTGGAATCCCTTCTGGAATTTGCTTTACATACTTTGGTTCAGCTCTTTTGCATTTTGAGTCAGTGACTTGTACTGCTTGTGGAAATTAAGCGTGCCCTTCTCTCCTCAGCTTGCTCCTGGCTGCCAAAATAATGTTTATTCTGCTTTGGGCTGGGTTTTTTCAGCGTGGCAGCATCCAGAGGTGCCAGTGGATGGGGAGCTCTGAAGGAGACTCCAAACTTTCCCTTTGGGTGCTGCCAGCTGCCCCTGGATTTCAGGGCTTTCAGCTGAACAGATCTGCAGGTAAGTCACCTTTTCCTTGCATTAGGCTTTGGTCTTATTTGCAAATTAGGCAGTTTTAACCTTTGCAGTTCTCATTATGCATCATCATTATTTCCACTGCATAAAAGCACTTGAGTTTGATGAAATTGTAATTCTAAACTCAAGGTTTTGGGGAGGTGAAAGCACCAAATCCCATGGTCTCACAGAGTATTTATATCCTGCATTCTGTAAGGAGCAGGTGGTTTTGGACACTTCATCAGGAGTTTCTGGTCTCCCTCAGTTTTCACACTTAAAACTGCATTGCAAGAGAAAATTGCAGAATTTATCTTGGATCTCAGGGCTGGATCCTGAGCTCTGGACTGTTTCCACCTTGCTCTGCCTGTAATGAGATGGATCAGGAAGTGTTTTGCTTCTTGGCTCTATCTGGCCTTTATTTATCCCACCTGCATTAAGCCTGATTTCTGTGGAAAGCTTTTTGCAGGAAACCTGCTTGCTTTACAAACCCACTGCAGAAAGCAAAAGGCTCCCCATCAGTGCAAATATATTGCAGGTGGATGGAAACTTAACTGCTATGTGAGTGTGAGGTTTTTATGGTGAGACAGCCAGGGTGTTTAGCTCCTGCTGCATGTTACAGGGGATTCAGGGGGACTGAGGGATTGCTTTGTGCTCAGTGTACACCTTGTACCAGCAGCAGGGAGCTGGAATCCAGGCTGTGCATCACCCTGACACTGGGAAGCTCCTTGTCAATGAAATGTTTTGGCTCCTTGAAATTGCATCCACAGACAGAGCAAGAACCAGCCCAGGGATATTGATTGGGAATATAAATTTTTTCCTGTGCTGGTGGAACAGCAGCGTTGCTGAGTCTTTGCATGGAGCCAGAATTTACAGAACCCTTGGCAGCTTCCAGCCAGGTGCCTCTGCAGGCTGGGGGCGGCTGATTTGGAGGGCAGGGAATGAAAAATGATGGTTTGGATTGGAAAGGACCCTAAAGCTGCTCCCATTCCACCCTCTGCCATGGGCAGGGACACCTTCACTGTCCCAGGCTGCTCCAAGCCCCGTCCAGCCTGGCCTTGGGCACTGCCAGGGATCCAGGGGCAGCCCCAGCTGCTCTGGGCACCCTGTGCCAGGGCCTGCCCATCCTCACAGGGAACAATTCCTTCCCAATATCCCATCTGTCCCTGTCCTCTGGCAGTGGGCAGCCACTGACCCTTGTCCTGTCCCTCCATGCCTTGTCTCAAGTCCTTCTCCTGCTCTCCTGGCGCCCCTTCAGGCTCTGAGCTCTCCCTGGAGCTTCTCCTCTCCAGGTGAGCACCCTCAGGTGCTCTCCACAGCAGAGGGGCTCCAGCCCTGGAGCATCTCCATGGCCTCCTCTGGGCTCTCCCCAGCAGCTCCAAATTCTCCTGATGTTGTTCCCCAGAGCTGGGGCAGCTCTGCAGGTGGGGTCTCACCTGCATGGGGCAGAGGGGCAGGATCCCTCTCCCCTGCTGCCCAGGCTGGGGGCTCAGCCCAGGAGCACTTGGCTTGTTGGGCTGCAGGGAAGGAAAAGCTTTGTCCTGGCCAAGCTGTTTGGAGGAGAACAAGTCCCCTGCTCCTTAGCAGAGGCTGGACACTCATTTCTAAGCACTTGAAATCTCCCAAATCCTCACAGCTGCCTTGCTTTCCTGGCACAGGGAGAAGAGCAAATGCTTTTCATGCTCCTTATCTCTGGGCCCAGAGCTCTGGTGGCTGAGCTGTGTAATCTCTGTCAAAACAAGAGATTACTGAGGCTTCTCCTGATGTTTCAGTGCCTCTGCCTGGTGGGAATCTTGCTGAGTCTGTCCTTGCTTCCTCTCCAGTCCAAGTTCAGTGTTATTTTAACACCACTGGGAGTAAAATCCGTGGGAATGTGCTTGGGAGTAGAATCCATGGAAATGTGCTTGTTACCCTGCTGTGGTCAGGGCTGAACTCTGCACATGCAGCTTCACTGCATTTTCCAGATATTCCAGGCAGCATTTTCCAAATACTCCAGGAAGCATTTTCCAAGCTGCTGGGTGGATTTTGCAAATTCCCAAGCAAAATGTTGCCTGTCTATAAAAATACATTTCTGAAAGAGGATTTTTTTTTCTCTCTGTTTGAACAGAAAACCCATCCTGGGATGGATCCCTGTAGGAGAGTGAACCAGCAGCATGGTTTATCCCTGGATTTCTGGGGTGGGTGTGGGTTTATATAACATCACTCACCTGCTAAAGGGGGTCCTCCCATGGCTGCTAGCCCTGCAAAGAATGCAGCAAACCCCAGGTAGCTGTGGAGCTTCTCTACACCCACCAGATCCACCTGTTTGGAAACCAAAATGGGTAATTAGTGATTGGGCTCATAGGACTACATATGCACAACAGATTAATTGATTTTTTTTTTCTTTTTTTTTAAGCACAGGAGATGATTTGATTCCTTTTTTTTTTTCTGGGGAATTTCCTGTCCAGCTGCAGCTTTGGAAGGACTTTGCCCCTGTAGGTCTGATCCAGCCTGGAACCCGTTTGCCTCCCTGAGGCAGGTGTGGGAATGACTGGGATGGGAGATGCTTCTCTGCCTTCCAGCTGCCAGACTGGGAGGAGGGAGTTTGAAACTCTGAATGCCTTCCAGAGAGAAATGCCAAATTATAATGGTGCCTCCCTACCCGGATCAGAGAGTCCTGGGTATTCAGAGATATCCTGGGAGAAGGGTTTGGGTTGAAGGGGGCCTCAAAGCCCATCCATTCCACCCCTGCCATGGCAGGGACACCTTCACTGCCCCAGGCTGCTCCAAGCCCTGTCCAACCTGGCTTTGGGCACTGCCAGGGATCCAGGGGCAGCCACAGCTGCTCTGGGCACCCTGTGCCAGGGCCTGCCCACCCTCACAGGGAACAGTTCCTTCCCAAAATCCCACCCAGCCCTGGCTCTGGCTCTCTTGCAGGGAAGCCATTCCTCGTGTCCTGTCCCTCAATCCTTTGTCCCCAGTCCCTCTCCAGCTCTCCTAGATCCCCTTTAGCTCTGGAAGGGGCTCCAAGGGAATCTCCTGGATCCCTTTTACCTCTGGAAGGGACTCTAATGGAATCTCCTCGGTCCCCTTTAGGCCCTGGCAGGGGCTCTGAGCTCTCCTTGGATCCTCTTTAGCTCTGAATGGGGCTCTTAGGGGAGAGGATCTCCTGGATCCCTTTAGGCTCTGGAAAAGGCTCTGAGGGAATTTCCTGGATCCCTTTTAGCTCTGGAAGGTGCTCTAAGGAATCTCCTGGATCCCCTTCAGCTCTGGAAGGGGCTCTTAGGGAATCTCCTGGATCCCTTTAGGCTCTGGCAGGGGCTCTGAGCTCTCCCTGGAGCCTTCTCCTCTCCAGGCTGGGCACCCCCAGCTCTCCAGGCTGGCTGCAGCCCTGGGAGCATCCCTGTGGAGCATCCAGCAGGATCCTGCTGCAGTTCTGGCCGTTCCAGAAGATTCTGGAATGGTTCTGGTTCAGGTATTCCGGGTGATTCTGGAATGGTTCTGGTTCTGGCTGTTCCAGAAGATTGTGGGATGGAGCAGCAGGCAGAGCCTGGCTGGGCACAGCAGCACTCACCAGCACGGGCAGCACCAGGGCCATGAAGCCTCCACAGAAGATGGCAGAGGCCACGGTGTAGGCCAGCAGCAGCGGGAAGGAGGTGGCCAGCGGCCCCAGCAGGTTGGTGGCCCCGCTGAGGAGCAGGTAGGTGACATGGAAATGGTACTTCTTGGTCCAGTTGTGGTCGGCCAGCCAGCCCGAGAGCAGCTGGCTCAGCATCTCCGTGATGCCTGGGGGAACAGGAGCTCTCAGGGGACACTGCCGTGGTGTAAGTGCTTAAATTCTGTCATTTCTAGGTGGTTTTAGATGTTATTACTTCATATAACTTTATTAGATATTATAAATTTAACTATATTCATATTATTGTTTTATTATACATTTAACTCTATTTTTATATTATTATTTTTAGAAATGTAACTATATTTTCTATTATTTTTTAATTTAGTATATGTATTAAATTGATACTTTGAGTGAGGTTTAAATTCTGTTATTTGTAGATAGTTTTGTTATTGCTTCATATAAATTTATGAGATATTATAAATTTAGCTATATTTTATAGTATTTTTATTTAGTATATGTATTAAATTGATACTTTGAGTAATGTTGAAATTCTGTTATTTCTAGATATTTTTATATTATTGCTTCGTATAAATTTATTAGATATTATAAATTTAGCTATATTTTATAGTATTTTATATAAATTTATTTTTTGTAGTATTTGTAATATATTGATGCTTCATTGTATAATGTTTAAATTCTATTATTTCTAGATATTTTTATATGTTATTACTTCATCTAAGTTTATAAGATATTATAAATCTAGCTATATTTTATGGTATTTTATATTACTGTTTTTATTATTTGTATTCTGTATATTCTATTGATACAGTGTTTTTTATTTTTTATTATTCATATTCTATATTATTCCTATTATAGTTTATTATTCAATCGTAAGATATAATTAATATAATTTTTATTTTATTATAGTATATTTTTATATTATATGATCCATATTACGTTATATAATTAACTGTATTTCATATAGTTAAATTATACTTCTCTTCACATTACTATATTTATTATTATTTGCATATTTTAAATTTTTACTATACATTATTATATTACATATTATATATTCTAATAGTTATTTTACAGTATTTTATATTATTTATACTATTTTTATACATTATTTGTATATTTGTATACACTTGATTATTTATATTAACCCTAATATAACTTATTCTTCTATTTATTTTATAATGTTAATTATTTCTGATATTTTATATTATTATATACATTATTTATATATGTTTATTTATATAGTTTTACATTATTATCTTTATTATTTATTACTGATTTTTATAATATTCCCTATTTCTATTATTCAGTATTATTTCTGTTATTGGCTGTGTCACATCCCAGTTTCCCTGTTCATTGTGAGGACATGACCACAAAGGGCTAAAATGCCAAAAAGTTCAGGTGGTTTTAGGCTGTAAAATCCAGGGATTGGGTTTTTCCCCTTTTCCCTTGTGCTGCTCTTCCCAGGGGCACCAAAGGGCTCTGGGAAAATTCCCATCAGGGGGGAATTTCACCCTTCAGGGTGTCTGCAGCCTGAAATGCCCTAAATCAGGACAGAGGAACTTGCTGAAGAGAAAAATCTGAACATTAAGAAGAAAAACGTGGCTGAGATTTTGATTTTTCTAAAATTATTTCTAGTTAAATTCTAAAACTTAATTTTTCCAAAAACCCAGGCATTTTCTAGAAACCCAGACATTTTAGAGGCTCAGCAGCCTTTTCGTTGTTGGGGTTTTGAGAGTTTGGGTGTTGAGAGCTGTTTTTTACATGTCTTGGTACATTTTTATGAAGCAAAGACACAGGAGCTCTCGAGTGAGCTCGTGTCCCACTGACCCCTGTCCCTCCCACTCCTAATCCCAAATATCCCATTAATTTCTGGGGATTCCTGACCCTCAACATCCCCTCACTGCTGAATATTCCCCAGCACGGCAGAAATAAAATGCATTTTTGTACAATAAAATATTTGCTGCTGACTGAGGCTGGAGCCACTTTCTTACGCCAGCATGGCTTTAGTGTTAGTCCCGGCTTAAAGCCAGGCATGGATTTGTGTTTTGGGGAGTGTGCCTTAAAAACCAGGCAAGGGTTTGTGTTTTGAGGTGTGCCTTAAAGCCAGGCATGGGTTTGATTTTTGGGGAGTGTGCCTTGTTTATTCCCCACTTGGGAGGTGGATGTGCCAAATCCAGATGCCTGGATCTGGGCATAGGTTTGATTTTTGGGGAGTGTGCCTTAAAGCCAGGCATGGGTTTGGTTTGGGAAGTGTGCCTTAAAACCAGGCATAGGTTTGGTTTTTGGGGAGTGTGCCTTAAAACCAGGCATGGGTTTGGTTTGGTTTGGGGAGTGTTCTTTATAAGCCAGGCATGGGTTTGATTTTTGGGGAGTGTGCCTTGTTTATTCCCCACTTGGGAGGTGGATGTGCCAATCCAAATGCCTGGATCCACATTAATGTGGGGGGTTTTCCCCCAATATTGAATTTCTCCCTTTTGGGTCAAACTGGAGGGCTTTGGATGCACCTCTGGATTCTGGTGCCTTGTGGGTTTAAGCCCAGCAGGGATTGTGGCGAGCAGAGAGCACCTTTTAAGTGGAGATTTGGAGTTTTTGGGAGCAGGGAGGGTGTGGGATCATCCAGCTGGCACTGGGAGAAGCACCCAGCACCCCATGGGGTCAGGGCTAAACCTGTGCAGGAGGATCCATGCCAGGACACATCTGGGGCCATTTCTTGGCAGAACTGGGGGTGTTTTTCTGTGAGCTGTGGGTGTCAAGGACCCCTCTGCCTACCAGCCACGGCGATGAGGTAGGAGCCGTCCCTGCTGCTCATGCCCAGCGTCCTGGCTCTGGCCACCAGGTGGAAGAAGGGCACGAAATAGGCCAAGTGGCTGAACAGGAAAGACCAGGTGAAGATGAAGAAAACGGGATCCTTCAGCGGGGAGAAGTCCAGGAGAGGCTGAGAAGGTTCCTTTTTGGTGGCTGCAGGGGGCTGGTGGCTCTGGGGCTCGCTGGGGGATTCTGAGGAGGAGCTCTCCGGGCTGGGTTTCTGCTGCCTTCCCGAGGCAGATGGATTTGCTGGGTCAGAGACATCTCTGCCATGAGACATCACGAGTTTCTCTGTGGTGGGAGCCTCCTGTGCGTGGAGAAGCTGTAATTCCCTCTGAGTGCTTCCATCTAAACATCCACCAGGAGTTTCTGGATCTTTCTTTGCCCCTGAAGACCCCCGGTGCTGGTTTTCGGCAGGTTCCCGAGGCAGCTGGGGGCTGGCAGGCCACAGCAGCATGCTGGAAGGCACCAGGTTCAGCATGATGCCTCCAAAAATCAGCAGAGTACCTGAGGGAAGGCAAAAGGTGGTTTGTTCTTGGATTGGAAAGGGGGGAGCAGCAGGAAATGGCCTTTGTAAAACAGGGTGTGGTTGTCACTGACCATGGAGAAAGCTCTGTTTGCCTTCTCCTTCTGGAGGAATTAACAAAACAGGGATTTTTACTCCTGTTTTTCTAGCTGGAAGTTCATTTTGCTGTGATGTGCAGAATAAATCCACAGCTACCTCTGGGATATGTTTTGCTTTTCCTCATTTAAAGTCATGATGCACCTTCAAGATGGTCTTGAATCACTACAGTAAGATTAGGGATTTCTGGTTTTGATTTCTGAGATCTGTGCTTTGACTCTGATTTTAATGAGTGACTAAGTGCTTAATAATTAACAAGATGTCCCCAAACTATCCTAGAAGTGGCAGAGTTATTCCTTGGAGTGTTGAATTTTTAAGAGCCTCTTAGAGCCTGCAGATCTCCCCAAATTCCCTCTCAGAGCTGGTGAATTGGAAGGAACAGGATTCAGCTGCAGCTTTGGAAGGACTTTGCCCCTGTAGGTCTGATCCAGCCTGGAACCCGTTTGCCTCCCTGAGGCAGGTGTGGGAATGACTGGGATGGGAGATGCTTCTCTGCCTTCCAGCTGCCAGACTGGGAGGAGGGAGTTTGAAACTCTGAATGCCTTCCAGAGAGAAATGCCAAATTATAATGGTGCCTCCCTACCCGGATCAGAGAGTCCTGGGTATTCAGAGATATCCTGGGAGAAGGGTTTGGGTTGGAGGGGGCCTCAAATCCCATCCATTCCACCCCTGCCATGGCAGGGACACCTTCACTGCCCCAGGCTGCTCCAAACCCTGCCCAACCTGGCCTTGGGCACTGCCAGGGATCCAGGGACAGCCACAGCTGCTCTGGGCACCCTGTGCCCCCTCACCTTGCCAGCCGTAGGCCTCGATGAGGAGCTGGGTGAAGGGAGCCATGAGGAAGGTCAGCCCCATGCCGGAGCGGGCCAGGGCGTTGCAGAAGGCCAGGCGAGCCCGGCAGCGCTTGGCCGTCATCACCGCGGCCGCCTGGTACAGGCAGGCAAAGCCCATCCCTGGGAGAGGGAAAGGAGAGTCAGGGGCTCCAGCAGGCAAAGCCCATCCCTGGGAGAGGGAAAGGAGAGTCAGGGGCTCCAGCAGGCAAAGCCCATCCCTGGGGAAGGAGAGTGAGGGGCTCCAGCAGGCAAAACCAATCCCTGGGGAAAGGGAAATGAGAGTAAGAGGCTCCCACCACAGAGAGACTCCATATCTAAAGGAAGGGGGAAAATGGGAATAAGAGACTCCCACCACAGAGAAAGTCCACTAGGCAAAGCCCACCCCTGTGGGAAGGGGGAAATTGAGAATAAGAGGCTCCCATCACAGAGAGAGTCCACTAGGCAAAGCCCACCCCTGTGGGAAGGGGGAAAATTAAAATAAGGGGCTCCCACCACAGAGAAACTCCACCAGGCAAAGCCCATCCCTGAGGGAAGGGGGAAAATGAGAATAAAGGCTGCCACCACAGAGAGACTCGTGGTGGCCCATGGCAGAGATGTCTGACCCAACAAATCCATCTGCCTTGGGAAGGCTGCAGAAACCCAGCCCAGAGAGCTCCTCCTCAGAAACAGCCACTGAGGCCAAGGGAAGCCACAAACCCCTTCCAGTCCCAAAAGGGACTCCTGTGTGGAGATTCCATGTCCTGCAATCCCAGGCTGGCAGTCCCTGGCTCTGCAGTGTTCCCAGGCTGAAAGGAGGGGATTTCTGCTCTCACAGTCAGGGGAGAGCATGATTTGGTGTCTGGAGTTTGGTGTCTGGGGGATTGGAGGCTCTGCCCTTTTATAAGGGATTTTAAAGGCCAGGATCTGTGTAGATCCAGGAAAAAAATGAAGGTTAGCTGGGACTGGGATGTTGAAACTGGTGTTTTATTCTGAGCATGAAGCTTTGGGAGTTCACACAGTGTCTCACAGAAAGGAGCTGGGGATGCTTTGGCACTGAAGGTTCATGGAATTACAGGATATCCTGAGGTGGAAGGGACCCACCAGGATCACATCCAACCCCAACCACAGACACCCCCAAATCTCACCCTGTCCCTGGCAGCACTGTCCAACCACTCCTGGAGCTCTGGCATCCTCGGGGCTGTGCCCATTCCCTGGGGAGCCTGGGCAGTGCCCAGCACCCTCTGGGGGAAGAACCTTTCCCTGATCTCCATCCCAACCCCCTGACACAGCTCCTTCCTTGGATCCTGTCCCTGATCACCTCAGGCTCCTCTTCTCCAGCTGAACAAAACCCCCTGCAGACCCTTCCCCAGGTTTAAGGCTGAAGGAGCTGATTTCCTCGACGCCCATCTCACCCAGCAGGAAGCCCATGGAGAAGCAGAGGAAGGGGACACTGGTGGCCTGAGTGCTGAGCAGGCAGCCCCCGGCCACCAGCCCGGCCCCGAGGATGGAGGTCGGCCGCTCTCCCAGGCGCCGGCACACCACGGCCACCAGCGGGGCTGCAAGGCAAACAGGGACACAGCTCAGGCTCAGCGTGACAAAGGCAGCTTTGGCAGGGCTTGGGGACGTGGCTGGGACCACTGGGAAGCCTCGGGAGGCAGGGGGTGACAGGAGGTGTGGAGGGGTTAGTGTTCAGCAGAGAGGCTTTGCCTGGACCCTGAGCTCGGGGAGTGGGCAGGGAAGGAGGCAAAGCCCAAAGGTTCAGCTCTCCTGAGCTCCTTCCTCAATCACACCGTGCCCAGCAGCTCCAAGGTATTCCTGGACGTGGCTGGGACCACTGGGAAGCCTCGGGAGGCAGGGGGTGACAGGAGGTGTGGAGGGGTTAGTGTTCAGCAGAGAGGCTTTGCCTGGACCCTGAGCTCGGGGAGTGGGCAGGGAAGGAGGCAAAGCCCAAAGGTTCAGCTCTCCTGAGCTCCTTCCTCAATCACACCGTGCCCAGCGGCTCCAAGGTATTCCACAGCTGACACAAGTGTTGTTTGCTCTGGAGCTGTACAATAAACCTGCAGTGAAGTTCAGGGGATCCCAGAATGGTTTGGGTTGGAAGGGACCTTAAAGCTCATCCAGTCCCAGCCCTGCCATGGCAGGGACACCTTCCACTAGCCCAAATTGCTCCAAGCCCCATCCAGCCTGGCCTTGGACACTTCCAGGGATCAAGGGGCAGCCACAGCTGCTCTGAGCACCCTGTGCCAGAGCCTGCCCACCCTCACAGGAAAGGATTTCTTCCCAATTTCTAATTTTTTCCCCCTATCCCATCTGAATGGCCCAGTGTTTAGAGCACACTCCTGCTCAGACACGTGTGGGTGTCAGCCACATCCAGTTTGGAGCAGTCTGGGATGGGAGCTGGATGCAGAGCAGCCTCAGTGGCCCAGGTCAGCCAGGGTGCAGCAGCCCCAGCCCGGGGACAGCAGCTCACCTCCCAGGAAGCGCAGGGAGGACATGATGGAGCCGATCCAGCTGAGCTGCTCTGAAGATCCCCCCATCTCATCTCGGAAAGCCACGAAGAAAATGCCAAAGGTCTTGAGCATCCCCATCACCAGCACATTGACCTGAGGTGAGAGGGGGTGGAGGTGAGGTGCCACAGGGTGTCGGGAGCGAGGAAAAGCTTTTCCTTCTGCTTCTTTTGTGGTGGTGTGGGAGAAACAAACGGGGACACTTGAACTGGTGCTGGGGAGTGCCAGCAGGGTGGGCTGGTCGTGGCTGAGCTGCACTTTGGTCTCAGTAGACCCTCAGAAAACACTCTGAAAACTCACTTTCCAAAGGAAAGGAACGAAGTTTCTCTCCCTTTCCCTTTCCCTTTCCCTCCCATCCTAGAGCTCAGCTCTTGTAGGATGCTTTTACCTTTGAAGTTACTTTTTAGTACTGCAGCAATGGTCAAAATGGATCAGTCTGGAGATCACTGGGAGGTGATGAGGGGATGAGGGCAGCAGGGATGGATGTTAACTGGGGCAGTTTCCCAGGATTTCTCTGCCACAGGGGCAAAGGACAGGCAGTTTGTGTCCTGAATTTTAACTCCTGTTGTGTCCCTGGTGGCAGGTGGTTAATGATTGGCAGTGAGTTACTCAGGGTGGATTTGAAGGGAGGAAAGCTTTCCTAGCTTGGGGCACGGTGCCTTCTTTACAATTGGACTCAGTGACCTTAAAAGTCTTCTCCAAGCTTCACAATTCCGTGATTCATCAGTGGTGGGAAGAGAAAGCCTGGGGCACAGAGAATTAGTGGCTTTAAGTGGTTTTGAGGTGCCAGGTCCTCCCAGAGAGCACCCGAGAGCGTGTGCTGCTCCCAGGCAGTGCCTGGCTCCCACCTCACTGCCCGAGGTGGGATCATGCCCTTGCCGAGGGGACAGGACACCCCTCTGGGGTTTGACACTCCTTTGGTGTGGTGCACCCCCGTGGTGATGTGTTTGAGTAGGGAAAAGTCATCCTGGCAAGGGGACCCTCCTGTCCATCACTGAGGTGTTAGCAGGGGGCATTCCACAGGGAATGGCATGGCTGGGGTGTCCCCTGGGATGGCTGGAGTGTGCCCTGGCATGGCTGGAGTGTCTCCTGGGATGACTGGGGTGTGCCCTGGCATGGCTGGAGTGTCTCCTGGGATGACTGGGGTGTGCCCTGGCATGGCTGGGATGTGCCCTGGCATGGCTGGGGTCGAAAGTCATCCTGGCAAGGGGACCCTCCTGTCCATCACTGAGGTGTTTGCAGGGGGCATTCCACAGGGAATGGCGTGGCTGGGGTGTGCCCTGGCATGGCTGGAGTGTCTCCTGGGATGGCTGGGGTGTGCCCTGGCATGGCTGGAGTGTGCCCTGGGATGGCTGGGGTCAGCCCTGGCATGGCTGGGGTCAGCCTGTGCTGTGCTCTGGGCGAGGCTGGAGATCCCCCTGCCCCTGCCCCAGCCCTGGGGGGGGTTTGGTTCATTCCCCGCTTACCAGGAAGAAGTGAAACACCACTTCCCACGCCCACCCTCTGCCTGCTGCTCCTGAGCCTCGGCTCTTCCCAGGGGATGGAGCCTCCGGAGCCTCCAGCTCTTCATCCTCCTTCCCTTCTCCTGCTGGTGAGAGCATCAGGACACGTGAACACCTTCCGGTGCTCCTGTTCCCACTCCCAACCATTCCCAGCAATTCCCAACCATTCCCAGCCATTCCCTGGAGCCCTAGGGCAATGCCTGGGGCAGACACCATGCTCTGCACTCACTTGCATGATGCTTCCATCAGACTCTCTGACAATTCCAATGATTCCTGTCTGGAAACAGTTTCATATTCTTTCTCATTCCCACCAGATTACTGTAACCACTTCAGCTTTAAGGGCAGGCGAGTGCCTTAGTGCTGCTTTGGCAGTTTGGCTGTGCCAGAAGCCCTGGGGTCACTGCCTGCATCCACCTCGGAGCTCTCTGCCAGCTCTTCCACTCCAGCCTTCTCTGTTTCCATCCTCTCACCCACCCCGTGCCTCTGGCAGAGGCAGGATCCTGCCCGGGGGAGCAGCTGGACCCCAGAGCACCGGGGGTGATGATCTGGGACTCTTCCTTACCGCCTTGCATGCTGGCAAATCCTCCCCGGGACACTCGACAGCAAACAGGAATCTCTTCAGAGCCTCTTCAGTCTCTTCAGAGCCTCTTCATCTGCCCCAGAGATTAAATCCCCCCTTCCTGGCTTGGCAGCCCAGTTTGCTGCTTCATTCCCACGGGGTGAGGATGGTGCTGAGCAGGACATGGAGCCTGGCAAGCGCTGGGGGGACGGACCCATCCTCCTCCTCCTCCTCCTCCTCCTCCTCCTCCTGAGGCCCCAAGGCCGGGAGTCCCTCCCCTTGCCCAGCTGGGAACAGGAAACCCGGGGCGTTTGGAGCAGAAATCCTGTAGGGAAGGAAAAGGAGGGGGAGCCTGCGAAGTTCTCAGCCCGGGGGAAGCTCCGATCCCGAGCAGAGCCGGGCCGGCTGGGCTGGAGCCGGGCCCGGGCTGCTGCTGCCTGCCGAGGAGCGGAGCCCTGTCCCCGCCCGTCCTGCACGGCCTCGGCACTGAGGGGACAGGCTGGAAAACTGGGAGTTCTGCAGCTGGGCAGGGCTCGGCTCCCTGCCTGCCCCGGAAACCTGCCCGAGCTCCTGGGCGAGCACAGCCCCGCTCGTCCCCTGGCCTGCCACCCGCGTCCTTCCTGAGGGGACAGAAACCCGAGCAGGGGGACAGTGGTGCTCTCTGCTCTCCCTTTCTTCCTGAGGGGACAGAAACCGAGCAGGGGGGACAGTGGTGCTCTCTGCTCTCCCTTGCTCTCCCTTTCTTCCTGAGGGGACAGAAACCGAGCCGTGGGGACAGTGGTGCTCTCTGCTCTCCCTGGCACACAGTGCCTTCCTGAGGGGACAGAAACCGAGCAGGGGGGACAGTGGTGCTCTCTGCTCTCCCTTGCTCTCCCTTTCTTCCTGAGGGGACAGAAACCCGAGCAGGGGGACAGTGGTGCTCTCTGCTCTCCCTTTCTTCCTGAGGGGACAGAAACCGAGCAGGGGGGACAGTGGTGCTCTCTGCTCTCCCTTGCTCTCCCTTTCTTCCTGAGGGGACAGAAACCCGAGCAGGGGGACAGTGGTGCTCTCTGCTCTCCCTTTCTTCCTGAGGGGACAGAAACCGAGCAGGGGGACAGTGGTGCTCTCTGCTCTCCCTTTCTTCCTGAGGGGACAGAAACCGAGCCGTGGGGACAGTGGTGCTCTCTGCTCTCCCTGGCACACAGTGCCAAAGCTGCGTCCTCCTGGTGCAGCGCAGGATCTCTGGGAGCCTGTGCAGGAGCTGTCCCTACAGCAGGGTTTGAACGTGTACTCTGAGCTTTATTTAGGCAGGATCAGGTTTGCAGTGAGGGTGGTTCAAGGGCCTGGAGGGGCGGGCAGAGGGGCAGCAGCACCTGCACTCAGAGCTGTTGGATGCCCAGCTCCAGCTGCTGCCAGCCCGGTGGGATGGAAGGAGAGGGGAGCAGCAGTGCCCAGGGTCACCACAGAGCTTGGACAAGCCAAGATCAGGGCTCCAGTGCAGGTGGACGCCGAGCTGGGAGGGAGTGTGGAGCCTGGCAGGGCAGGGGCTGCTCCTGGGAGCTGTGACTGTCACTGCCCAACGGAGTGCTCCGAGGAGTAAAGTCAGAGCAGTGACATTGTCACTTCACTGACTCAGCCCAGGTGTGGGAATTGGAAAAACTTCATAGACACCGAAAGATTTGATTTACAGCCTTGGGAGAAGCTTAAATTTATGTAAAAATACAATAAACAGATATTAAGCAGAAAAATCATAAACTTCTGTTTCTATAGGTGTAAGTAAGAATATGCCTTAAGTAAATGAGAAAATGTACTGATAAGATGGTGAAAGGTTTATAGTAATGTAATAGTATAGAGCAGCTTGGGAGTTTAGAAGTTATAATAGAAACATTAAGTTAAAACTTGTGAGTTAAAAGCCCATTAAAGTACCTGCAGTGCAGCAGAAGTAAATAAAGGTGATACATAGAAAAACAAAATAAATCCTGTGGCCTTTTCTATTGGTTTAGAAAGTTCTATATTGCCTTATAACAAAAAAACTTGTGATGCTCTTGAGCTATGGCTGACTGCTTGCTCCTCTGAAATCTCACAGCCTCTACGACTGATGTTTATCTCAGCAATAAATCGTTCCTAGCATGAAAAGTCCCATCCCTTCATTTCTAGCAGTGACAATGATACCCAAGTTTTCCCTCGTGCTCTGCTCTGAAACTCCCCTCCCCTTCCTGCAGCTGCAGCCCAGCTCCTTTTCCCTCCCCAGCACACAGGATCCATTGGGGTGTAGCAGCCCCCCACCTTTTTGCAGGATTGTTTCCCTGCAGCATTTCAAAGCAAGAGGGCCCTGGATTTGTGGGGACATTGCCAAGATCCCTGTGCAGCTCCCAGGGTCCTGGCAGGGCCAGGTTTGAACTTCAACCCAAGGCACAGTGAGCAAGAACTCCCACAGAATGTTTAACTTGAGGAGGTGAAATGTTTCCTAGGAGAAATTCCTCGGAAAGCTTTTGTACCTTTCCTACAGAGAAGCCTCCACGAGTTCCAGTCTTTCTCCAGAGAAATGCTAATGAAGGCAGTGGGAGCAGTTACCTTGGCAGGCCCAGCTCTCCCAGCCACAGCAAAGAGGAGGAAGGAAGGTTTTTTACAGGTCATTTATTGATTTCTCCAAGAAATGAGGCCCCCAAATACAGCAGGGAGGATCTGCTTGTTACAGGGTCTGGGGGTGTGCCCACACTTCATCCTCGGCAGCACAAGGGCTGAAATGCGAGCTGGAGAGCCAGGGAGCTGCCCAGGAGCTGGTGAGAGGGAGGGAGGGAGAGCCTTCATCCCAGGTGTGGAGCTCCAGAGGGCATGGCAGTGTAGGGAGGAGCCGGGAGCAGAGCTGGTCCCCAGGGCTCAGGACAGCAGCTTGTGCACTGCCACGGTGATGCTGTCGTGCTTCTGGATCATGATGTTCCTGCAGCAAGGAGAAAGGGCTGAGGGAGGGCAGCAGCAGCTGGGGGTGGGACGTGGGCAGGGGAATCACTGAGCAGCCCCAGCCCCATCCCCACCCCCATCCCATCCCCACCCCCATCCCCAGCCCCATCCCCCTCGGCTGCTCCATCTCCCCACTCTGTGAGCAGTGATGGAGATGTCCCTGCTGCCCCACTGACTGAAGAGCCAGGGAGCTGCCCAGGAGCTGGTGAGAGGGAGGGAGGGAGAGCCTTCATCCCAGGTGTGGAGCTCCAGAGGGCATGGCAGTGTAGGGAGGAGCCGGGAGCAGAGCTGGTCCCCAGGGCTCAGGACAGCAGCTTGTGCACTGCCACGGTGATGCTGTCGTGCTTCTGGATCATGATGTTCCTGCAGCAAGGAGAAAGGGCTGAGGGAGGGCAGCAGCAGCTGGGGGTGGGACGTGGGCAGGGGAATCACTGAGCAGCCCCAGCCCCATCCCCCACAGGGACCCCAGGCTCTGTGACCCCCACGGATCCCAAGGGGGGAAGAGCTCCTGAGCTGCAGTAACCACCAGCCCCTGAAAGGCTTCCTTCCCCCTGCTTTTACCTCCCCATCAACCCAGTGCCTGTGGCAGTGCCTCCCCCCAGGGCTGCTCCCGACCAGGAGCTGCTCCAGGATCTGTCTCCAGGAGCTGGGGGGGCTGGGGAAGGCAGGGGGGGCCAGCAGCAGCTGCAGGCTGGGGCCTCACCCGCTGTCAGACTCCAGGCACACCACGGGCGTGTCGGTGGGGTCCGAGGTGAGCTTGGCCGCCTGCTGGGCCAGCACTGAGATGATGCCAGCGTGCTCATCCGACAGGGTGCCCCTGCCTGCGGGGAGCCACGGACAACCCCCGTGCCAGGGCAGTGCTCTGCGACAGGCCTGACTGCCCCCAGCCCCGGGGTGTCCTGCCCGGCCATTTCCCTCCCAGCTCCATTTCCCTCCCAGCTCCATTTCCCTCCCTGGGGGCTGACTCAGTGTCTCCCCAAATGACACTGAGTCATTTGTCACTGAGAGGATTTGTTACCCACAGGGACCCCAGGCTCTGTGACCCACAGGGACCCCAGGCTCTGTCACCCACAGGGACCCCAGGCTCTGTGACCCACAGGGACCCCAGGATTTGTCACCCACAGGGACCCCAGGCTCTGTCACCCACAGGGACACTCCTCTCCCTCCACCAAAGACCCCGAACAGAGGTGTCAGGTAGGCACAGGCAGGTGGTGGCCCTTGGGGACACCCGAAGGTGGGGACAGGGCAGGGCAGGGGGCCCCAGAGTGATGCAGGACAGGGCACCCCCGGGGTACCCCCAGCTGGGGAGGGTCTGTAAGGCCGGGCTGGTGCCCCCATCCCCACCCTGGGGAGCCCCTCAAAGGGAATGGGCAGGACTGGGGCACCCCAACCCCCCGTGGGGCAGGCCAGGTGCCCCCAGCCCTGGGAACCCTCACTGCAGAGGGGCAGGACCGGCTGCCCCCAGCCCCAGGAGGCCTCCGAGGGACCGGGCAGTGCCAGGAGCCCCCCCCGGTGCCCCCCCGGTGCCCCCAGGCCGGGAGCTGCCTCACTCACAGCCCAGGTTGAGCCCCTGCGAGTCGGTGCACAGCACGCCCACCACGGCCGGGCTCTTCATGCTGGGGGCGACAGCGGCGCTCAGAGCCCGGGACACGCCCGGGACACGCCCGGGACACGCCCGGGACACGCCCGGGACATGCCCGGGACACGCCCGGGTCACGCCCGGGTCACGCCCGGGACACGCCCGGGTCACGCCCGGGACAAGCCCGGGACACGCCCGGCTCCCCTCAGCCCCCGGCCCGTGTCCCCTGTACCCCCCGTGCGGGGGACACCCCCAGTGTCTCCCGTGTCCCCCCATGTCCCTGCGTGTCCCCTCATGTTCCCCGTGCTCCCATATGCCTCCGACTCCGTGTCCCCCCATTTTCCCCACATCCCCCCGTGTCCCCCCGTCCCCGTGTCTCTCCATGTCTCCCATGTTCCCCCGTATCTCCTTGTGCCTCCATGTTCCCCCGTCCTCCCGTGTCCCCAGTTCCCCCCCATATCCCCCCGTGCCCCCCCCATCCCTCCGTATCCCCCTGCCCCCCCGTGTCCCCCTGTCCCCTCACGTCTCCTCCAGGTGCTGTTCCAGCGTTCCCTCCATCGCCCCTCGCCTCCACTTCCGCGCCGCCCACGTGACCCCGCGACGGCGGCTCCGCGCGGCCAAAAGCGCTCGGGGCGCGCTCGGCTCCTCGGGGATGCCCCGGTTTGGGGACGCCCCAAAATCCGCCGGTACCGAGACCCCCGGACCCCGCCGTGCCACCCCCCACCGGCACCGTGCCCGGGGGGCTCGCAGCAAACCCGCCCCCCAATCAGCTCTCCCCCAGTGGCTGTTTTCCCGCAGAGCACGCGGCGCAGTTGCGATATTTGGGTTTTTTCCCTTATTTTTCTCGATTTTCTCCTCCAGTTGCGTCCCTCCCTCCCCGCAGCGCCGCCCGGGCTTTGCAGAGCCGAAGGAAATTCAAGTGGGGTTTTAATTTTAATTTAATTGTCCTGGATTCTCCGTGTTGCAGACGTGGTTTCACAAATCCCTTCCCCAAGTGTTGGCTCCTGGGTGCTGCCCATCAGTTCCCACATCCCCTCTTTATTTTATCCAGGAAAAATCAAGGATGAGACAATGTGAAGAGTGAAAGTG